AATGTATACTTTGCCATGGTTTGGAGTTAACTCTTAGCCACGAAAACATGTTTGAAACATGGTGTGTTTTTAAGTGTTTTTAGGTCCCACCTTAAGACAACTGTTTTACTCTATGCTGTTACTATGCTCATTTTTCAGATTAAAAAAAATATTTAAAGTGAAAAATGGTTTAACTACGTCGTTACTTTTGTTTTTGAAAATGCCAAAAATTTGGGTCGGTCGGACGACGCTAACAGGGGAAAAAATGAGGGTGGCCTAAATATCTTTTTTGGTTTTTAAGGCCCATTTCATGTATGCGCGTAGATACTTTTCGCTCCGTTTTGTTCAAAAACGTAGCATAATCCCGATATATTTTAAGATGGGAATCATAATGAAAACAAAGCCTGTAATCTAAAATAAGCTGGCTTGCTTTACAATGGTCTGCTCCTATTGGGGCATCATGGAATAATAAGCGAAACATACCCAAACCAAGAAAAAAGGGGCAGCCATATTTGTTCAAGTAGGGTTTCATCTCATTGAAAGATCGAACACAGAATCAGTGACGTTGAATACTTACTAACAGTAACCTAAAACAACTCGAATGAATTTAGATAAACATGCTTGCTTCACGAACCATGCATTAGTAAGTTATCGTGTTTACCATGAACACAAGTTTTGAACACTTATGGGGTAGTTATTCATTATAAAACTTATTATCGAGAGTTTCTGACGTTGTAGAGTACTCCCCGGGGTTCTATTTCCTTCGTGGGGTCATTTATCGCGGCTCATCTTCCTGATCATCCATAGCTTCCACAATTTAACAACTTCGAAGTTTTCCAGAGGCAAATGACCCGGGAAATGACAATTACTGCCTTGATAATGCCGATAAAGGATATCGTTATGTCAAATTAAAATAAGAGGAACAACCGCGGGAAACCTGCAAGACCCAATTACCTTTGGGGACGAATACGAATAAGGTGGGAGGTGGAGGGCAAAGAAAGGCTAGCAGAAGTTGGCCCTTCCTGGGACGGGTTGTTCAAAGCCCGATTAAGCTAACCCAGGATTAGCGAGAATTTTGATTTCAGTTTTGTAACTTTTGGGTACCGTTTTCTGTTTATATTGTTTGTCCTTCAGGTTTGAGTTTGAAAAATCTCAAACTACGCAAAACACAAGCAGTGAAAAGCATTTTTATACAAGAAAAATGGATACTTCGATTAACTTTTAGTCCCGGGTTAGCGTTACCCGGCTTTCGAACAACCGGGCCCCGTTGAATAGAGTGTTTTCATTGTCACGCAATAAAAAATAAAATCAAAAGCCATTCGGTGGATAAAGTCAAGAAATTGTGATATTATAGAAGATAAATAAAGAAGACAGTTCTCCAAGTTTAAGAATTGTGCGTTGTCCCAAAGTTGAGATATTCGTGGAAATGTTCTGCGCAAATGCCTAGTATGGAGCCGCCATGTTGGTGTTCCTCTTTGCTACACCAATATGACGACCGGAAAACAGTAAACATCTGGAACTTATTACTTTGGTTATCTAGGACACTTATTATCTACACAGAACAAACAAGCATTTAAATAAGCACTTTTCCAAATACTATAACGTCTTAAAGGGCAAAAAATTACGAGATTAATACATATTTTTCGACCTTTATGTCACCATAATTATGTCACGCACCGCCATAACTCTGAAATTCAAAATGCACTGGTTTCCAGACGAGGGATGCTTTTGAGCTGGAAAGTTGTAAACACATAGAAATTTAGTACCTCTTATACCTGACGAGGATAAAAACTTTGGTGGCTATGTAGTTTTGGATTTAAGAATTTGATAACGTCACGTGAAAACGCTCTATCACCACTGAGGAATTTAAACGAAAAACCGTCACGCTTTCCTTTCCCGCCTTTTAATGCATCACGTCCCGGAGGGTGTCCCGGAGTGGAAAAAAAAATATTGGTAGCCTCGTTTGCATGCTGACACTCGGACCTGTCGTTCCAGCCTTGTTGTGCTGTGTTCCAAACAATGATTCCAAACAAGAACTGAAATGATTTTGTTTCAATGATTACATTATACAGCCCTCTGAAACAGCGAGAAAGAAGCTCATTATTACAATGATTGTTAAATTTACCATCGATGTTTTTTTTCACAGGGGACGGCCAGGGATAAGTCGTTAGTGTTGAGCCGGTAAGTGAATTTTCCGGCTTTGAAAATTACGATAAGGCCTGTATGCTTTATCGATTACTTGTATTGATAGGTACGCTGTGACTGGATCAAATTTTCTTTCTTTTATTAGAATTTTAGAAACTATATTTTATTTGTTATGAAACGAGCAGGGTGGTTTCGATCGATGTTAGTTTACATCAGTTTGTATGTTTGCAGGTTTGCTCTGTTGTGACACCCAATCTGCGAAAACTTTAAACATCAGGACCGCTTGTTTGGGCTGCAATGGTGATCGTCTCAAAGGTAGAAAAACGTAGAAAATCTAAGGAGCAGTGTCATAATTTACCGTCTTGTCTGTAAGTGGAACAATTTATCGGAAGTGAAATTATTCATCATGTAGCGTTCTCAAACCTGCGCGCCGCTTAGTTATCGAGTACGAACATACACGCGTTTGAATTTTAAAACATTACTTCTTCTATGTACCATAAATATGACCATGGATACGAATGCGAAACTTGCCTTAAAGTAACTTCGAAGACGCGTTTTGGAATGATCTGAGGATATTGTACCATCTTGATACTAGCTAACTGCGGTAAATTTATTGTTTTAATGATGGGAAATATTCACCTATATAGGCTTCAGTGTTGGAACATAGATAGTTGAAAAAAAATTTTCACAATAAGAGCAGAGGTATCTTTCTTGCTTACAATTTAATTTTCTACGAGCTGAAATTCTTGCTCGTGAACGATCCATGGTTGGTAGAAATCTACCTCACAAGGCTTGTCGAAAGTTGCTTCTGATATGTACTTCGCTGGTGCAATATTGACGAGCAAAATAAAACAAAGTTTAGTCATGTATTGTTATTCTAGCAAGATTAATATTTTATTTTATTTCGTGAATCCATATTTGAGAAGCAGTTATCTATTGCCTATACTATTTATAAATGTAGGTCACTTCATCGAGTACAAAGATAGCATAATTCACTGGAAAGTTCTTGGATGTCTCTCCAGCGGTCTGGTGAACATGTATTGTATTTTGTATCGTTTATCATGAATCGCTTGAGCGATTCCATCGGATCGGCCGCGTTATGTGAAATTTTTAAGGACGCCTCTATATCAGCGGTGTTGATTTTCTTCGCAGTATTTAATTTAGTTTATTAGTGTTATCATCAATCACTGATTGGTGGTGGTTGTGATGGTGAGAGGGAGTGTGGGGCAGTGTGGACTAGTTTCTAACCAGAAATACTTTAATTTTTCAACCATAAACTGCTAAAACTCGGCCAGTAGTATTAGCTTGTTCATCATTTTCAGGAACCTCATTTATAACAGGTGATGCATGATGTATTTGTATGCTCAGAAGACAATTAAATCTGTCTACCTGTTCATTAATAATAATAATATTATTATGTCAACATTTTTTTATCACAATATTTTTATTCTTGTTTCATTTGACACTAAATCAAGGATTTCTGAGGCTTATTAATTTGACAAATCTTTCTCATTAAGCCTTGAAGGTGGGGCAAGGGTCATAATCCTTATACTCAAACTGATCTTGATATCTCATCACATTTTAATTATGAACCTTGGTTTTTCAGACTTTGGTGCTGAATTGCACTTTCTTTTTTTCTATTACATGAGTCCCAATGTGCAAATTATTCCAAATGCAATTTTGGGGTTTCAACAAAGATTTCAACAGGAGGGCACCAGGATAAGACATCTGGGCAGAAAATCTGCATGCCTAAGGGGCCTTGCCAAGCTGGGGGTCTGGGGACCATGCAGCCCTGAAAAAATTTGAAAATTCCACTCTTGCAGAGATAGGCTTTCATGCAATTTGGACCAAAAAATCAGCATCACTCAGTTACCTACAACAGATCATTGTAGATAACTAAATCGTAATTCAAACCCATCATTTGAGGTGGATTTGCTTGTAATTTTAACACATTTTAAGTGGGCTCTCATTCAGAACATTTATTTTTGCAATGCATCAATTGGTGAATTTGTTTTACAAGTTTTGTTGACAGCAACAGTACTATCTAAATACTACTATCCTGGTTTAAAAGTACTATCCTGGTTTAAAGCTATTTGACAGATCACTGGCATAGAACAGTTATGGATGGCCAGGCATCTTCTTTGCTACCTATTTCATCCGGTGTGCCCCAGAGGTCTATCCTGGGACCCATGCTGTTTATTGCGTTCGAGCATAGGGAGAACGCAGCCTAATTTTGTATTGGTGTCCACATGTTGGGCTTCCTGCATAATACAGGCGAAATCAATTGAGGTTGCAGTGGTCTTAGCAAATTCAGCCGCCCCGCTTGATTT